TTTTTAAATGAAATTGTTGTCATATTTAACAGACGGCGCTGCAGCAGGAGGCGCGCATCCGCGCGGACCAGGACACCATCCGCGAGCTCACCGGCAAGCTGGGCCGCTGCGAGAGCGGCCTGCCGCGCGGCCTCCAGGACGCCGGGCCCCGCCGAGACGCCATGGCCGACGGGCCCTGGGACTCGCCCGCGCTCATCCTAGAGCTGGAGGACGCCGTGCGCGCCCTCCGGGACCGCATCGACCGCATCGAGGTGAGCGCCGCGCCCAGCGCCGTGCCGTCGTGGGGGGCTGGGGGGATGGGAGGGGCCACTCTCGGGCGTCTCATGCTCCCGCCGCCACCGCCGCGCTGAGGGTCCCTGGCGGACCCTGGCGGGGGACGGGGGCGAGTCTCTAAGCCTCAGATCTACCATCTGTGTAAAGGGGATGATGGTTCCTTCCTCGCCGGCGAGAAGCGAGGATTCCGGTAGGACATGCGGGCCAGAGGCTGACGCCGCGGCGCAGGAGAAGGGCTCGGTTTTCCTCCAGACACCTCTGTAAGCCTCGGTTTCGGCGTCTGTAAAGCGGGTATAAGTGTCCACTTGGCGTGCGGATTGATTAAAATGTAGGTGTGTGAAATGCTCGGCACGTACTAGGACCTCATTAAATGTCCGTTTCATTTCCTTCTGCCACACGCCCCCAAAGCAGCACCAGCACGCACTCCCTCTGGTCAGGAAATCCATGTGCTGTGCATAGGACTCGCGGGCTCCCCTCCTGCCGAAGAGCGGGGAGCAGAGTGTACCACAGGCTAAACCCGCGCGCCCCTCACGGCTTTGGACCCCCGTATGCCCCACCGAGGACCGGACCACGGGCCTGGAGGCAGGAGCTCAGGTGGTGCTGGCCCAGCCAGGATACTTGGAAGCCGGCAGCTCTGGGATGGGGACTGAGTGGCGAATAGGACCCCACCTGAGTTCTTCCTCCTCCACTCACCTTTTTCAGACATTCTTGGCTCAGGCTTGGGGTCAGACACAAGAGGTCCGACGGAGAGGCCACCCTGGGCCAGTCATTTCTCCCTCGAAGTCGCCACATTCCTACCTCCCTGTGAGAACCTTTTTGGAGAGGGAGCTGGACAGACTGACAAGACAGACATCTTGGGAGGGCGTTAGCGACAAAATCGGACCTGTAGAAGGAGGGGGGAGAAAGGCCAAAGCACTTGCTGCCCCCTTTACTCTCCTCCCAAGCCGGGTGCAGCTGGCAAAGGCAGAGGAAGGGGAGGGGCTGGAAGAAAGGAAATGTAGGGACTCCCCCTCTCCTGTGGCTCTCTCAGTTAAATCTCTGGCCAAGCAGCACAGGTGATGCCCAGGTGGAGGGCTGGCCACGCCCATGGTCCTGTGGCGCTCCACAAAGTCTGTGCTGGTGTCCGCACCCACCCCACAGGGTGTCAGAGGGCAGCCTGACAGCTTTCACAGACAATCCTCTCACCTTACAGGTGAGAAACCTGGGCCTCAGAGACCTCTAAGGTGGGCAGCAGAGGCAGAAGGAAAGTCTGGGGGTCTTGTCTCTCCCACCAGCAACCCCTTTTCCCACTCTACCCTGGAGGATTTCTAGGATGAGAGTCAAGAGCAGGAAATAATAATAATAATCAGGGAAATACTGAAAGTCGTCAGTGAAGGGGAGTTTCAATCTCCTCACCTGTAAAATGGGGGCAATAATAGCACCTACCACATTGGAGTGTTAGGAGGATTGAGTGAGTTAGTCTTTGTCAAGGACCCAGAACAGTGTCTGGCAGAGATATGCTCAATCAATTTGAGTCATTGCTATTTTTATCATTAAGCTATAACATTACTAATGTTTTAAATAGCCAAAAATAAAAAGGGGAACAAAATTTCTTTTTAGGAACTAGACTATTAATGTAAAAAATATATATATTTGGTTTTCAAAAAACTTCCTCTTGCCTGCCCTAGCCCCTGCTCACACACCCAGATGGCACCCGTGTTTCCTCCCATGTCTGGGGCTGGCAGGGCACCTTGTCCTGGACCTGTTTCCCCAGCATCTGTGCATTTGGCAGGGTGAGCTCCTCTCCACTCAGCCTGCTGATGCTGGGGGTATCCTGGTGGCTGGGATTTGGCACCCGGTCCTTTTCCCAGGTTGGGGTAGTCCCGGCTTTGCTACACACACCCCTCTTGCTTTCTGACTGCAGTGGACATGGAGAGAAAAAGGCAGAGGCTGCTCGCCCACCAGGTCTGCCTTCTGAGCCTGGCAGCGGCAGAGCCAGTGTCTTTGGGGGTCTTTGGAGGAGCTGGGGTCTGGAGCCCAGCAGACGGGGGGATCAGACGACTGGTCTCAGTTGAACTCCATCTATTCATTAGCCCCCGTCTAGTTTCTCCCGTCTCTTCTCATCCAATATTCTCAAAAGGATGCCCCCAGATTTTCAGGGTCTACTTTCTCCCCACTCATCTCTCTCCCACCATGGCACACCGAAAGGGCTCATGGCGGCATCACCAGAGTTGATAAACTGAACAGAATGTTTCAGTCCTTATCTTGCTGGCCCCCTCTCTGACATCTGACCCCGTCGATCATTCCCTCCTACAGATCTCCATGCTCTTGGCTTCTAGACACCTCTTGTCTGCCCCTCCTCCCTCTCTGCTTCTCTGTCCCCTTTCAGGGTCCTCCTTAATGTTTGCGCTCCTCCTGGCTCTCCTCTTACTTTTTTGGGTGAGCTCAGCTGCACCCTGAGGCTTCCAACATCCATTCCACTGTAGCACCTCGAACCAATTTATCTCCAGCCCAGGTTTCTCTCCTGAGCTCCAGCTGCTTGCTGAGCACCTCCCTCTGGACGGCCCACTGGCCCCCTACCATCATTGGGTCCCAACCTGAATTCAGGTCCTCTGACTTCTCAGGTGTGCTCTGAGAAGCCATGGTTGAGTCCTCCTCTTCCCTCCTCCTGCCAGTCAGCCACATCACTCTGTGGATCCTTGCAGCAGCCTCGCTGGTCTCCCAGCCCCAGATACAACCTTCCATCCATCTTCCTCCAGGCAGCCCCAAGGATTGTCCTTAAGCCCATAGGATCCCCTATGGTGCAAACTCCTCAGCTTCCTTCCAGGCTGCCATTTTGGATCTGGCCCATCTCCCAGTTCATTCCTGCCTCTGCCTAGACTTCCCCCAGAGTGCCCATCCTCATTTAAGAGTGTTCTGAGGACACTTTCTCCCAGAGGCCCTCCTGCATCACACTCTGTCCACTGCCTACCTCCACCCGTGCTCCCATAATCCTCAGCACATCCCTGTTCATCCCCACCTGGCACATCTCTGCATCACCCCTCTCCCACCCCACCAGGCCAACTACCAAAGCAGAGGGAAGGTCACGCTGGCCCAGCCTCTCCCCGCCAGGCCTCATGTGGGAGCCACGTTCGAGGGCATAGGAGAAGTCGTTTGTCTTCTTGTCTATGTTTTTATTTTTGTTATTGTTGTTGCTATTAATTGAAAGAAGTCAAACTTCTTTTTGTGGGGGAATCACATTTAATTCTACTATTTTATTTGTTTTTGCAGCTCCCTTTTGGTCCTTTATCCAAATGTAGACATTGTTCCAGAGCTGGCAGCATTGCTGGTAATTACCCTTTAATAGCCATAATATCCCGGGTCCACCGTGGACTCTACCATCCATCCGTCCCCTGACCATCTCTTGTTGCTGGAAATGTAGGTTGTTTCTCGTTATTCTTCTTCTAGATGCTCACTGCGGGATCAATTTCATGTGGATATTTGGTTTTTTTTCTTTTTAAGTCTGTTGAATTATTTCTTTAGGCTGAGTTCCCAGGAGTGGTATTACTGGGTCAGAGGATATTGACTTCTTATGGCTGTGGCCAAGAACCACTTTCCAGAAGGGTTGGATGATTTATGTGGCAACCAGCTATGTAGGCATGTTTCGGTGTTCTAATTTTACACTAATTTATGTGTGAAATGAAACCTCGAGGTTGATTTAAGCAGTAATTCTCTGACATAAACCGCATCTTTATCCTGGCCTGGCCAGCTGGTCACCTCCCCGATCCTGGATTGGGAGCCATGGTAAGGAACGCCCCAGTGGTGGTCGCAGAAGACCCTTGACTTAATAACAGTTTTAGCTCACACTTACTGAGCGCTTACCGTGAGTCGGGCACTGCACATTATCTCATTTAATTCTCATAAAATCTCTATGAGGGAGGTGCTATTCTATCCACCTTTTACAAATGAAGAAACCAAGGTTCAGAGAGGTTAAGAAACCAGCCCAAGGTCACACAGCCTTGGTGCCTAAATTTGACATTATCAGTGTCTGGCTCCAGAGCCCTCATTCTTCATCATTAAGTCTACAACCTCAACTACCTTCAGGAGAGTGAGAAAGACAGGTGAGGGCAGTGCCTCTTGCTCGATAGTGCCCTGGGCCGTTTCTGCCTTGGCTCACCCAGAGTGATGAGGGCCAGTCCTCACAGGCTCGTCCTGCTGGCTGGCAAGATAATCAAGAGGCTCTCATGGGAGCTTAGCTGATAACAATAAATAGCAATAACAAGAAGTAATGTTTATTCGGCACTTACTACATATGTATTAGTTTATCCAGTCTTCAGCCCTATGAAGTAGGCTGTACACATTCCCATCTTACAGATAAAAGCAGAGGCTCAGAGAGTCTGGAGAAATCGGAGCCAGGCAACCCCCATCCCTGCTTGGTTTCCCCTCTGTAAAATGACACAGTGGGCCAGATGCTCCCTAAACACCTTTCAGCTCTAAATATTCTCTGAAATAGGGAGGATTGTGGCATAAAGGTGAGTTCTTGCTTGTGACTTTAGGTTAATCTCTTTGAGCCTCCGTTTTCTTATCTGTAAAAGGGGTGGAAGGATGGGCTAGGTTTGACCCAGGCCCTTTGGTCTCTAAATTCTGAGTTCTTGGGCAGATGCCTCCTGATAGGAATTGGGGTGGGAGTTACATATGTGTGCAGCCCTCAGGCCTCCATCCACCGACTCCCAGACCGCCAGTTCCTCAGGGAAGTCTGCAGATAAACACAGTGACTTAGAGAACTTACTGGTGCCCTTTCTAAAATCTGTTGGTTGCTTTTACTTTTCTCTTATATTGTGGCCCATTCTGGAAGCTTCTGCTCTGTGGGGGGCTGGTCCTCCTGACCCCACTTCTGTGGCCATGAAGGGGGCCAACATAAGAGGTTCTTTCTGCTCATTGGCCTTTTGTTAGAGGACATGGAACCTCAGGGCCTTCCAGCCACCTCTCCCTGTCACTGGCCTCTCCCCATCTCCAGGTG